GGGAAAAGGAAATGCGGAATTCCTTTCCTCATTAGTATTTGTATCGTCAACTTTTATGAAAACTATATAAATCATTTTTCCTTGGTCAGAGGTATTATTACGACATTTGAATAAGATTGTCTTATCATTTGTTATTCAAAATTTAATGTTATAATGATCAACATAGCTTTGAATTATCTAATATAAATCGGTAACACTGTCCTGCAACCGATTATTTTTCTAATCCGAAAACTAAAAGTTACGAAAAAGCACTTAGGCCTTCATTAAGTTCCACTTTCACGCGACGTTCAATGTTTCGCGGTTTGCTCTTTACGCATTGTTCAGGCTATCATAGCAAGCTATGACCAACGTGACGATTGCTTAAGCCCTGGTTAAACAAGTAAACAAGTTATTAAAATGAAATCATGTTCCCGAAAGCAGTCAACAATGTATCTTAAACCGGATCAAGCGTGCGCCCTATTTTTCTAAACATTCCGACGCGTTCCGCCCAATATCTATCAATTACGTTTTTCTACAATAGTAGCCTGGGATAAATCCTAATTCGACCGACACGTGTTTGTTGAAAAAATATATTCTGCCTAATATCAGTAGTCAGTAGTCATTAGGAAACCTGTTAATATATTACCACATATGTATCCTTCTTTCATGAATTTGTTTTACGAACATGATCTTACACAACCTTTTTCTATGACAAAACTATATTCTGATAAAATTGGATCATTGCCTAGACCAACTATTGAAACTAAAGAACAAAACAATTGGCCACGTGTCTGGAATAATATTAACTTAAAGAACCTGAACTCAAATGCAAAATCTATTCTTTATTTACTTTATAATAAGAAAATTGATCACAGAGCTCATTTGTATCGCATAGGTATTGCTGACAACCCTAATTGCTTATCATGCGGATTCCTCGAAGATCTTGAGCATATATTTTGTAAACGTTTTTCGGTCAATCAGTCATGGAACTATTTTATTAGACATTTACTAAACAGATTTGATCCTCGTTTAATGCGCTTCTTAACCTTTTCCAGTTTGATAGCTCCAACCTTAGAAGAGTTTAGCAGGGATGACAAAATTTTGATTCTAAGAAAATTTGTTCAGTTTAGTCAATATATTTTGGAAACAGAACGACATATGATCTCCTTGCCTAGCTTCAAATTCTTCTTAGAAATAAATGCCTGTAATTAGTTTAGAATAGCTTAGCTTGTAAGACATGTTTATATGTTAGGATTAGAATAAAGATTTTATAAAAAAAAAAAAAAACAGACTAATTTTTACACATTTGACTGATGCAATTTTTCATTCGTTCATTTATTGTATGTACTGTATGTATCTACAATCACACTCCTGTCTGGCAGTGGTCTGGCAGTGGTATTATGTATAAAATCTACCAGTAACCATTTTTTTATGACTGCAAAAAGTTTGAACTCTGGAGTTCGAAGGTGATAGCTCTACCGTATACCCATTAGCCCATTTCAAGATCGCATGCTTCCGAAGATTTTGCTTACAATAATCCCCGCTCCGGTACAGTATCGATGCTGATATTGTACTGAAACTTTCTATAAAACAGTAGCGCAAAATTTGATTGACGCGTATTTAATGATTTAAAAAAATATTTACGATAGAATTACCACAAAAATTAAGGAACGAGCTCACCAAATTAGTATCCAGAAAAGAACGGCACGGCTTAACAGGGTTTAACCAATGGGAATCTTTTCTTTCCATGCTGATTTCACGGTCTAAATCACTAACACTGGCACAACACGGTTACTGAACACGTAAAAACTGAACTGGACTATGCATTTGGATATAATTCAAACGAAAATTCTTCCGGATGGCGTAGCGCCACCAGCCAAAACGCTGACAGAAGATTATCGCAAAAAATCCCGACAATAGAAAACAAACACGTTTAATCGCGGCCAAGGCACACTTCGATCACAGAAATCTTCATAAATATTAGTTAGTAAAAAAGTCCAAAAAGTTTTTAAATGTGATTAATTTGGTTCAGTCCTAAATGAGCAGTTTTTTCAAAAATGAACTGCAATGTTTCATTATACCCAGCGACTGGGAGTAAAATATTTTCATTTTCAGAGTCCAGAATGAAGTCAGCATAGCTTCCTTCAAGTCTCCATGATGTGAACTTTAGTGTTTTTATGAGCATGGTATGGTTGAAAATACACTGAGGAGAACACGTGCGTTTTACCGGCTATGTTTAATTTCACCCAAACATGCTCAAGTTCTTTAAATTTCGATGTACAGATGATTTTTAAAAAAATGGCTAAAAGAGCTATAAGAACTCCCCCACCAGACTTCTTCTGAGACTCATGAACATTTCTGACGTCTCTTATTCGTCATTGAAGGCATTTCCAAAGATTTCTTCACTTTGTACGCTTTCATCCCAGCTTGTTTCAGTTGCCAGAATTACCGAAAATAAAATAAATTTTGATAGATTTCCTTCATGGCTGGGCTTTTCATGCGATTGAAATTTTTACAATAGATCAAAATTTTAGTCGCATTCTGTTTATGTGAAGAAATTATTGAAAGTACGTCGGTTGATAACATAAAATTCTGGTTGTGAATTTAGGCGCTTTCCCTTATACGCTGCAGGTGTTGGATCCTCTGGTTGTTAAGATGACGCCGATAGGATTCCAAGTCGTCAGATGCCACCTGTTTTGGTACACCATATTCTTCGCGCACCTCGAAAAAGATTTTTCGAAGTTCCTCCGTTGAGGCCGGTAGTCCTTTGAATGCCAAATTAATTTTGATGCTGGTATTCGTCATTCCTTCATGGCAAAACGATATGGAACTTTACATGAACGTTTGTGTGATAAAGTTTAACCCTTATGAATTAAGGTTTTTTGGAAGTGAACCTTACAAATAAAGGGTTGTTAAGAACCATTGCCATTCCAAATTCTTGTTCTTCCTTCATAAAATGAATTTTTGGTGATCATTTTTGTTCGTTGCATTTTTTTTCGAGTACAGTCTTTAATGTAAGCAAATCTTGCACTGAAATTAATTTTTAACACAATCAACGAAGTTAATTAAATTTACAATTAAAACAAAAATAGTTCTACCATTTTGGTGTTTGGTATTTGTTTATTATTTAGGATTGGATTGAAAATGTAATTTGGTACGCATTTTTTGCATTTCTGTATTTTGAAATTCTTCCAAAAATACACTTCTTTCCGGTTGGGCTGAACATTTGCTAGAACTTAAGCGACAAATACAGTGTAGAGCTGCGCAAGAGTGAAGGTGGAAGCAACGCATAGAAAAATTAGCAAATACACAAACCATTCATGTGAGGTGGCAATCTTTGCCATCAAATTCGTTTGAAACATTTACTTTTGCGCGGCAGATGACGCGATTCTGTCTGTCTCATAGTCGTCGTATGAGAAAATGGAAGAGTTGCCAGTCTTGCCTTCGATTTAATGAAGATTAGGGGGAAAATATCAAAATTATCGAACTACTCGGTTTTTGTTTTCAATTATGTCCGCCCTCACTCCACTGTGCACTGTGCAACGTCTTCATTCAATAATAACATGTGTTCCTTTCCTTTTATCGAAAATTGAGAGGTGATCACGCTTACCACTATACCACCGGTGCCGTTGTTCATCAAAAATTTGTACGTGGGAAAATTTCCTATAAGTCGGCTATCTAGAATTTTATTACAGTGGTCCCGAAACCGTATTTAGGTGGAATAAATCGTTTGTGCCTAAATCAATAGTTTTAGCACAGACAAACAGACATAACGTATTGAATATTTGTAACTATAAAACATCGTTACAAAAACACTACCATCATCTGTTAAGTGCACTATCATGGGTAGCACATATTATATTGATAATTGTCAAAAGCACGAACCGGCACGACAGGAACATATATTTTTTGTGAAACTAATGTGTACAAAGTTACTGTTGAAAAAATTTAGGGGCACCCTAAGCTACTTATTAAAAATTAGTATAAAGCGTGAACCATTAGAGACAGAAAATTACTATTTTCAGTAAAGTGTTTTCAAATAACTTTTCCTACAACTTTGTCCAACATTACGTTGGTCTATCTTGAACACTTAACTAAAAAGTTGATATTAAGAACTTATCAACTGTATGGATCACCCAAAAGTCTTGGTCATAAAAATAAGGGCCAAAATAAATTAAAAAAAAACATTTCCGAATACACTATATACCTAATACCCCGTACAGACTATGGCTTATATCATGTAATATAGACTGTCTTGCAATGAGCACTCATACATCTAGTTTTCACTTGAAATCCTATGTATGAGTGCTCATTGCAAGACAGCCTATATTACATGATATAAGCCATAGTCTGTCCGGGGTATAAAACTAATGATTTTGGCACAAATAATGTATTCTACCTGAATACTGCATCTGGATCATAGTGCAATGTTGGGAAAGGATATTCAATTATTAACAAAAGTTTTGATTTCCAATATTAATTTCTATGTAAATTTCCCATAGTTTGTGCTAAATTAGTTTTCAACAAAATGAGTCAGAATTTTCATAGAATGGTAAGGACCAAATTAAGAACCATTTGAGATTGTAAAGCAAAATTTTTAAAATATGTATCAGTCTAATACGCATACGTAAAACAGCCTAATTCATGCAGTCTCATTTCCTTCAGCAATTCAGACAGAAGTCACTGTGAGAAGTAAAAATGCTAAAACCCCTACTGTATGCGCGTTAATGAAAATTGTTTTTCCAAAATGTTCACTATGGCGTAACGGCTGTGACTAATGTCCACATTAGAACTAATGTATTCCGGCCAGTGTTCCCCGGCTCAAATTCTGAAAAGAGTGTGCCTCCGATTAATCTATGAGCAAAGATCGGGCATCACTGCCGGTTATTGTGGAACTGAGCCGATTCGCATGCTAAACGCTGCATTAATTTATTGATAAAGCTGGAATGTGGATCTAGTAGTGGGATTTTTCTTCGTTCTTAGTTCAGCCACAGTAAAGGTTGCACTACCTAGCTTTTGGAATGGGTACAACTAATTACTGGTTAATTATCGTTTTAGTTTGTACACTGACGAACAGTGTCAAATCAAAAAGCAGTTGGTTTCAAATTGATGATGAAGATGGGATTTTGTCAGTCGTAAGATCAACCTCCGTGCATCGTGAACATTCAAATCCTAATTTCAATCATTTCAGCCCGATTTGATCCGCAAATACGGCTATCAGGTAGAAGACCACGCCGTAACCACAGAAGACGGTTACGAACTAACGATGTTTCGAATTTTGCCGAAACAACCGCCGGATACCAGCAAACTCCCCGTCCTAATGGTGCATGGCCTTTTGGGAAGCTCATCCGACTTTATCATCATCGGTCCAAACAACAGCCTAGCCTATCTACTCTCCGACAACGGCCACGAAGTATGGCTGGCGAATGCACGAGGAACACGCTACTCCAAGAAACATTCCACGCTTTCGCTTGATTCGAAGAAATACTGGGACTTCTCTTGGCACGAAATCGGCTTCTACGATCTACCGGCCATGATCGATTACATTATCAATGCAACCAAGGTCAAGCAGGTGAACTATGTGGGATTCTCACAGGGTACCACCTCATACTTCGTGATGACGTCCACTCGACCACGCTACAATGACAAAATTGCTCTCATGGTGGCTCTTTCACCCGCTGTATTTCTCAAACGAGTTCGGAGCCCTTTGATACTGGCGGCTGTCCCGCTGTTTGGAGGATTCAAGAAGATAATGGATTGGCAAAAAGTTTACGAAATCCTCCCGCACAATGCCTTATACAATGTACTAGCCGGATCAATCTGTTCGTTCGGAAATCCTAAAGGTATCTGTCCGCATATGATTGGAAAAATCGCCGGTCCCCATCCGGAATCATATGATAAGGTAAGCGTATTCAATCATGTTTGTTAACTCTCAATCGCCATTTTCCACATATCATCGAGCACAGAAGGTGATAACCGCATATGCCGGTCACTTCCCAGCTGGTGCCTCAGTCAAACAACTCGCCCACTACATTCAAATCATCCGGAGTGGGTTCTTCCGAAGGTACAACAATGGCAAAGAAGGCAACGTACGCGCTTACGCTTCCGAAGAACCACCCATCTACAATCTAACGGCCTCGAGTGCTCCGGTTTTGATCTACTATGGTTTGAACGATTGGGTCGTGCATCCACTGGACGTCCGGGAGTTTGCAAAGGCGCTTCCACGGGTGGTTGCTGCAAAGCCGGTAGAGGATAAGAAATTCAACCACCTGGATTTCATTCTCGGGAAAGATGTCCGTTCAATGGTGTACGATGAGGTGATAACGATGCTCAAAGGGTTTAAGTAGTCAAAGGATCGTGTTTTTGGGCAAATACAATAATTGATTTTTTTTGGAGCAGTTGTATGTTTTAACCACCACAGTTGGGGGCTTTTGGATCACATCGAATCGCCAATCGATTTCAGTTCCTCGAGACAGGGAATGATCGCAAACAGATAAATATATGGAGTAAAATTTAAACCAATTCTAACGAGAATTATGGCGAATGTGATGAAGTAGCTCGTTAAGTGTTCTGCAGGAAATGCTGATACTGCTATTGGGGATACCAGAGAGAATCATAAGATTATCGAGGGGAATCTTATAGTTTTAGGCCGATTCAAAACAAACTCTTGGGAAAATTTCAAAGATATCGTGTAAGAGTTCCTTTGACATTGACTAGTAATTATTTAAAATCACGGACACAGAAATGATCGTCGCAGAAAGAGTGCGAGTATTTTAATTAATTTTCAATAGTTTCCCTGTAACAACCACAATCAGGGCTGACAAATGTCATTTTTAATAAAAGATCTCATGCGATATAACGATGAGAGAGATTTTCTTCAAAATCTCATCGAATTTTTTGTCATGACAGAACGTGACAGAACCTCATTTATTGCTATTAAAGTTACTTGTAGCGATGAAATCTTAATAATATATTCGCTCTACCTACATACGGTTTCTTGCTTAAATTTATCTAAATCAGTTAAAAATGCTGATGCCAAAACCGCATAAGAATTGTTCTCATGAGCGCTTGATCATTGAAAAATGACAAGAAAGCTAATGATAGGTAGTTTCGTCTCGTTATAGTGAGAGGACCTGTTTTCTCATTGTCACATGATGGCCGTGATATTTACCAGCTCTGACCACAATAGATTTGGATGAGAATAAAGAGCACCCAGAGTAAAGCCGTATGTTCACCAGTGCTGATAAAAATCATTTCTTCTACACTCAAATAAGCTGAAAATCAAGGCAACCTTGAAAGATAAACCAACTAGGGTTTTTGATCTTATTTCCGTCCTACTAAGCACAACCCACGCTTTACCTCTCTTTTCTGAACGAGGTTAAATTGAATATTTATGTCAAAGATGACTTCTAAATTTATTCACCTTTCCATACGTACCGTTGGATTTGACAAAGAGTCACACATTGTTGAGATATTGTTTAAAATCTAATACTGCTTCTTGATTCTAAATTCGTTCTACGAGTTTCAATTCCGTCCTAACGCATTGAAACGTCATTAGATTTTCTTCGTCCTTCGAATAAACGTAGAAAAAGGGGATTCGCTAGGAGCACTTCTTTTGTTTTGAGAACAATTAGCTTAAATATGCATACAATGCGCTCAAACAAGATTTATGTTGTAGCTAATGAACTAACGCATCGGAACAAACATATTATTGATTTGTGCACGGTGAAATCATTGATGTTATTGATCTTTTCTGATCGATAGAACGGAAATGGGCGATTACGACGAAGTAGCGCTCTACTCTTCCTGCATGAATTTGAATTTTGACATGATAACATAGAGATTGCTAAAGTGTGATTGTGTCAGTAATTTGTTTTCATCCGGAAAATTTTTTGCTATGATTTTTTTTTTGTTTCCCGATGAAAACATTTTACGTATATGTATACGTGACGTAGTGTGCGTACGATAAACGTCAGCAATCTCGATGCTCTTGATCAAGGCAACCGCTGAGTTTCGAAGTCAACAATTCAGTGCCAACATTTCAAAGGGGCGCAATTGCATTTGTAAACAATGGCTTTAGCCGTCGATTTCTCGCGAATTAAAGCTCACTCATGAAAAATAATGACACCAGAAGGTAGAGGAATGTAACCTCTACCTGCTAGCATTGTAATTTTGGAGAGGTAAGATTTCATTCGCGAGAAATTGACGGCTAAATTCATTGTTTACAAAAGCAATTACATCCCTTTGAAATGTTGGCACTGAATTGTTTTTGTTCATTCAAAGATATATCACACGGTACACGGTACGTATTCATTATCGCCTGTTCTGATGTCATATTTTCGTTTTGCTTTTGCAGAATTGATGATAACATCGAGGTTTTAGCAACAATCAATACGAAACTAACGATTTTAAATTGGCTCACCACTATAGTAGCCTATTGGTCCCAAGCAAACGATTAACGTACCCTATTCTAGTTGAAATTCTATTACTACACTATGTTTGTTTTGATTCGCTATGAAAGTTTGACAGATAACATCAGGGGTGTGTGGATTCATGCAGAACATGCAGGGGTGAGTGAAATAGCTTGAGACTGCTTGGGACCGTTGTTCTGGTACTGAGTGAGCCAAAAATAATAATGATTTTCTTCGGGACCCAGTGGTCTTAGAGTTACCTCTATGGTTTTAGGCTCTGCAATCGATAATATTCAAAATAATCATTTATGGCAGGCTGAAAGTCTCCTTAATAAAGATAACTGATAACTGAACTAGGGTAGGTGTTCCAGTAATATTGGTGTACCCTAGGGTGTACCTATAGTTGCGGTATGGAGGTTGTGCCGGAATAGTGAGGAGGATCCGGATAAGATTATTTTTCATCGGTAGCTCTCCTAAAATAAAGCATATTTGCATTTTCAAACTTAAAATATGCCCAAAAGTGACGGAGAATAATTAATTTTCCTTAAGACTTTCACTCCTTTGCAACTATAGTTGCGGTAGTGTTCCTATAATAGTGGTACCCATGAGAAACCAACGCATTCCACTATTTTATAAACCAAAGTAAGCAACTACCACAACTACTGGAACAGTTTTCCTATTAATGGAGGACGATCTTCTAAAATGTTATGCAATTTTATTACAATGTCATATTTTTCTATCAAAATAGATGTTGAAAGCTATAGATTGACGTGCAACAATTGTGTGTACATCGTATATTTATTTTTTAATTGATAAATTGGCTTAGTACCTCCACTACTGGCTCACCCACCCTAACTCATTTATGGCAAAATGAATTTGATGTTTTTGCTTTTGAGGATCATTTCCGATTTTGACAATTTTGGGTTGGAAACTCAAGCGTTGATGAATATTGTGCATGCAGATAAAATATGTAATTCATGCGCCATTCATTTGGCAACACTGCACAATTGCGACGAGTTTTTTTGTTCAAAAAATAAAATCTGGCAGCCCTGCCATCACGTCACCAGTAGTTCCAACGTCGAGATTAGCGCAAAAACGAAAACAAAACATTCGTCATGCTGTGACTCTGGTGAAAATAAAAATATTTATTTATCGAAAAATGGATGAGTAAGTTCGATATTACCATAATTTTGTTTGCTGAGAATCTTACTAACTAGTATTTATTTGCAGATCATTCGAGGAGGAGGCGGAGGAGTATTTGGAGGATGAAAAGGATACGGCTGAGATGCGAATGTGCGAAGATGCAGAAATCGGACAAGAAAGTGTAATGGAAAGGGAAAATGGCATGGAAAATGATAAAAGTAGTGTGGAAGAAGAGATGCCCCATGATCAGGAGCGCTCGCACCCAGAGAAAATGTGGGATCCATTGGAAGAAGTGAACATTGTAGCGGATCACGATGAATTAAGGAACGAGAGCGGGTTTCTGGAAACAGTTGCCGTCAGTGAACATGTTTTTGTAAGCTTTATCGCAGTAAGCTTTATCGCAGTCAACTGCGCCCAAAGGAGTGTGGAAAACAAAATAGTGTGCCAGATGTACTGGATTTAATCTGGGGAGTGGCGAAGAAAGAAATTCATCGAGCGGTAATTTACGAGAACGAAGTTCCTCGCTGGGCTGATGATGACCCCAAACAAGAAGATATGGAAAGTTTTGTGACCTTACAGGACACCGAGAAGAAGAAACTTTACATCGTTCCTGCAGTCACACCAAGGGTGCTGCGAAATTGGCGAGGAAAAACCATCAAAATTTTTGTGCATGTTTATTCAACTAACGTTGAAAACAACACCCAGTATCAGCAAGTGCATCGAAAGTTGATCGCTTCTATAAATCCGGACCGATCTGGCGCTGATTGTACCCTGGATGAGTATACTTTGGCGAATGAGCTTCGCGATGGACATCCTGATATAGAGGGACACCATAGTTCTTGGTTACTGTGGGCGAATTTTATCAATTCATCACCGGCACATGAACGCGATCGACTGAAACAGGCCCGAGCACCTCCGCTAAACTTGGCGAAGTTTTTCCGTTGGACGTCTGTCTCGGAGGCAGCAAGACTGCAGTCACTAAGCAGAGGACTTGTCGTAGCAAAAACTGTAAACCAAAGCTGGTCCAAAGAAATCGCCGAGGTAAGAAAGGATGCTGATCTTGCGCTGTCTATTCTGCAAGGAATGGTGAACAAATTGAATGTGATGGAATCTCGAGCGAACACGGATTTGGAGCTTTTGACGGCGATGACATCAGCGACACAACCCGAAGAATGCGAGCTTAGTCACACTCTAGCAGAAAGAGTCGTAGATTGTGCTGACTTAGATCATTCTTGGAGTAAGACACATTTTAACATGTAATGTTCTGTTTTATTATATATCACCAGTTCATTTCGTTATATTTCCTTATGATCAATGAAATAATGATTCTATTGTTTTAAGTCTGAATGAATCAAACTAGTCAAAGAAAATTAGGAGAAATCCATGATAAAATGCTTGCAAAGTCAACACGATCAATTAACGTTCTTTAATAAAAAAAAAGTCCATTTGTCTAATGTCTTGATTCAAACCTTTTTCTGGGAAAATATTTCCTCCCGCATAATACCCACAATGCTCAAAAATGTTTGTGCAAGAATAAATTTTGAAACTGATGACTGATGAGTGCTCTACTCTGTTCCTATTAAGATCTTTTTTCACTAAACCAAAAATTATTTCGATAGTATTGAAAAAAGGACAATATGCTGGGAGGAAAACTGGGATTATGCCGATCGATCTCAGGTATCTAATAATATTTGGATCACAATGGATCCTTGCCCCATGCATCACCCAAACCGAATGAAATCCTGGATAGTTTTGTACATGTTTATTATGTAAAGCAAAATTTCTGCAACATGCAAAGAATTTGTTTCTTGTAAATGTACCCTGTGTTGAAAAACTATCCAGCATCCCATTCATGCCCAGGAAGCAAAGTAAAGATACACGAGGCTTGCGACAAAATTCACCACGATAGATAACTTTTTGTCCTATTACCCCATATCCTTTCCGGCGTAGCATGTCGCGATTGTCGAAGCTAACTTCGTCTAGAAAAATTAGGTTGTAGATATCCCACTGAATAGCCATCAGTTCTGTAACGAATCTTACAATTTCCGTATCTCTTATTTGAATGGCCCTGCGTTCAATTGTTTTTCGTGAGAGACCACACTCGTGCAAAATAGCGCAAATCGACGACACACTAATGGTAATATGGAATCGCTTCTGGAACTTTTCCTTAGCCTCATCCAGAAACAACATAGGTTCTCTCATGTAAAGTTGAGCCAACCAACTACGCATACCGACTCTGAACTTTTTGTACACCTGCTCACGTTGTTTACGCCGGAAGAGCCCATTCTGGTCGTACTTTTTGATCCAAGAGCAGATAGTGGCGAGTGATTTTCCATAAATAGTGGCAAGTCGTGATTTTGAAATTCCTAAGAAGTAATATCCATACAGTGCATGGTAAACTGTATTTACACTAGCGTGTTGTCGGCGGACACTTTGTACAATAACATTTGCCATCTTAATTATAATATATTAGAATTTACATCATCCAATAAATAAATAATTTTATTCAAATACTCACTTGTAAGCATCTTCATACAATACCAAAACAAAGCAAATAAACAAAACTATATAGCCATCGAGCTCGGTTGAGTCCACTGACAGATAAGTCGGAAGTGAACTTCGCGTCGCGAGTCGGACTTGCGAACTTCAGTTTAGTGGTGGCGCGACAATATGATGAATATTAACAAACGCGTATTCGTCGATGGATAATGAACTCATTTGTTCATTTCAGGCGTAACATTTGATAACGACACAAAAGCTTTTGCTAACAAACTTTGTAAGACCTTTTAAACGCGAACCGAACTACGCCCACGCAAACCAACAACATCATCGGGTAGGGGCCTCGTTCACCTTTCCGAAAATGGTATTGGTTTGCGTGAGCGTACTTTGCTTCGCGTACAAAGGGCCTTACAAAGTTTGTTTACAAAAGCTTTTGTGCCGTTATCAAATGTTACGTATGATTTCACTTGTACGTTGACAGCGAAGATTTTCAAAACAACCGAAATTCATCTACACTGGATAGAAGTGATGAGGGTAAATGAGAAAAACAGACACTGATGTTGACTGTTTAATGCCGCAGTAAAGGCCACGCACATTAGATCTAATGTGGGTGGAACTTAACAATCGTAATTGGTAGATTAAATCCTATCCAAAATTAATATTATTATATCGACACTTTGCCTACAACTGCATATCAGTCCCATATGTAAAAAGTGGGCATTGAAAAAAATGGTAGCCGAAGTTGTGAAGTGACATTTAAATATTTGGAAAAGGTTAGTACAGACGAAAAGGACTTTGGAAACAAGGTTTAAGCAACACATCGCAGAGGTAAAAAAGGCTAACAAAGGACTTCATTATGAATTTAAATCCAAGGTTGCAGAATATATCGTTACAAAGGGGCACAATTTGACAAAGGATAACATTAGTATCCTGCGGACTGTATCTTCGCCTTGGAAACTAGACGTAGCTGAAAGTTTAGAAATATTTAAACATAATCCATCAACATTGCTTAATAGAGATCAAGGAAACGGATACTCGAGACTCTTTAGCATGCTACCTAAAACAACACATCGTAGCATGTATCTACCTGTTGGAAACTGAATTTAGGTACCTGTTAGGTAAATTTTGACTTGACATTGGATACCTGTTGATTTTTAGTACCTATTGATTAGCAGGCTTGCTTCCACTCACTTGCTATAAAAAAATTGTTTTTCGGAATTATAAAATCAATATATATTATAATGATAGTTAGTAGTTGTAAGTCGCAAGATAAGGTTGTAAACTAGGTGTTTGACACATAAAACCTATCATTATTGCTTTCAGTGCGTCACAATCAGCGATTTTACGATTCGTGAGCGCTCACTCACGAGTCATAAATTTGCTGATTGTGACGCACTGAAAGCGAAAATGACAGGTTTTATGTGTCAAATACATACCTTTTAACCTCTTCTTGTTTCTGAAAGTACAAACTTTCATAATAGCATCCAATGATTCCATAATTAAGAAAAACATTTTTTATAGCGAAGTGAGTGGAAGTAGTCAGCCGGCGCCGGTGGTGTAGTGGTAAGCGTGACTGCTTTCTAACACCCCAATGGGTCTGGGTTCAATCCCAGCCGAGGTCGGTGGGATTTTTCTGAGGCATAAAAATCTCTGGTCACGTCTTCCTTCGGAAGGGAAGTAAAGCCGTTGGTCCCGGCCCATGTGTGTTGAATAGGTGCGAAATCCTACGCAGGTGTGGAAGCTGCCTTCCTGCACATTCGATTGCCGTAAATGGATGGCAATCGATGTCCGTCGGTGATTGGCACTAGATTGCGGAACAGAGACCGACGTTAAATAAAGGAAAGAAAGAAGAAGAAGAAGATGAGTGGAAGTAACCCTGTTTATTAGTATATAACTCGTAGATGGATTCTTAAGTGGTGTTGAGTACTTGGCACCAGGGTTGCTTCCACTCACTTGCTATAACAAAATATTATTCGGAATTATGCAATCATTAGATGCAATAATGCTATGTTGTACTTGTAAGTAACAAGAAGAGGTAGTAAAGTATGTGTTTGACTCATAAAACCTGTTAATTTCGCTTTGAGAGCGTAACAATTGGGTTCTTTAAGGGTATTGAGGTAAATGCATATTCGTAATCTGCATTAAAAATGGAACCCAAACCCTAAATTTCATCAATGTTGGTACACTGGAACTATTTTAAATAAGAACGATTACATTTGCAAAAATCACCTTATTAGTGCCCCTCGGTGCCACTTTGTATGGGAGCAAACTGTCAGTTTGTCAGTTCAGTGTCAAACAATGAAGTTATTATTTTGCTTTAAATCTTGATTTAAAAATCGAGATCAAAGTGTGTTGGTTCGAAAAAAATATAGCTGTGCTCAGAAAACAAAGCTCTTTCAGATGATATATAAAAACCGATATATTTTTCAAAATTAAAGAACCCAATTAGCGATCTTATGATTCGTGAGCGCTCACGAGTCGTAAAATCGCTGATTGTGACGCACTGAAAGCAATTTTGACAGATTTTATGTGTCAACCATATACTTCATGACCTCCTCTTGTAACTTACAAGTACTAATTAGCAATATACTATATCATGATTTCATAATTCCGAAAAACATTTTTTTATAGCAAGTGAGTGGAAGTAACCCTGCTTGGCACTGATGAAGTCGAGTGTACCCCATTAGGCATAAATACATTAGGCATACGGACGTTAGGCATACGGACGTTAGGCATACGGACGTTAGGCATAATGGACGTTAGGCATAAAGTCATTAGGCATAATGGACGTTTGGCATAATATACTTTAGGCATAATGGACGTTTGGCATAATATACTTTAGGCATAATGGACGTTAGGCATAACATACCTTGCTGCTGTGCAACTCTAGAAAACTGTTTCGAGCATGGTAAACAATGAAATCCATTATTTATCATATCATAAGAAATAATAAAGCACACATTTGTTGTAATATATTCTTACACACATATTGCAAGTCCGGGAAACTTTGAGATATGGGCGTAATTGTTTTTGTAAACAGACATGTTAATCGCTGATCGTGAGTAAAAGAAAAATCTCGTGAACAAACTATACCAAATGATAGATGAACCATTCATCTGCCTGTTTGTGTTGTTAGTTTTTGAGATTGAGCTTTAATTCGCGAGAAATCGTCAAATGAAGTGTTTGTTTACAAAAGCAATTACGCCCTAATCTCGAAGTTCTCCGGAAATGTCAAAGAAGATAAGGTTTTCCTCAAGGAACAGCTCATGAAATAAAGAATGGTGAATTCTGTGATTTTTCATTCAATAACAAAAAAAAAAACAACTAAGGTTGAATAGAAGATGATGTCAAAGAACAGCTCATGAAACGAAGAATGGTGAATTCTGTGGTTTTTCATTCAATAACAAAAACATATCTGATGCTTCCAGGATTTACTCCCATACTTTTCGATACAACGATTATGTTTTTGTTGTCATCAGAATGAATACTAGCAGGACCGTCTGCTGATGTGAGGGAGCGATACTTCCATGAACAGCGACGAGTTGCCGAAACAAACAAGGAACTGTGGCAAACGTACCATCTGCAACCAAATACTTTGCCTGTCCAAGACGTCGAAAGTTTTCATGAGTCCCAAAAATTAAGGCTCTTTTATTATTGTCACCGATGTCAGCAATCAATACACGGTCCCCATTATCATAATTCTGGAATTCATCCGGTAGATTATGCCTAACGTCCATTATGCCTAACGTCCTTTATGCCTAACGTCCATTAAGCCTACCGTACAATATGCCTAACGTCCGTATGCCTAACGTCCGTATGCCTAACATCCGTATGCCTAACGTCGTGTACCCGATGAAGTCTACAAGTAGTAGATGAAATACGCGTATCTGTCAAAAGATAAGCAATTATAACGGAATTTAAAGGAAATAAACCAACCCCCTCAAAGCTCTTCATAAAGGGATGCCGTTAAGAGGTTCGAAAAATTTAAAGGATTAGTACATTTATTAGAACTTTTTCCAAGCTATAATCAGTTGCAATGAAGCTTGCATGTTTTGTTATATCAGCACAAAAGTATGACAATTCAAAAAACAGAACAACTTGACTTCTGGACGATTGAATTTCAGGATGGGCCTGATAACCGATTACTTTGCTTGATGGGACGAACTGACTTGATGTTGTTTTCACATGTGTCATGATCAAAGTCCGTAGTTTTATGACATAATATAAAAGTAGATGCCAATTGATAGTAGATAGCGTTGCTATCTCATAACTGACGAAAATCCATATGGGACCGATATGCGGTTATTGGCAGTATAGACAACAGCTGATAGATCAATGAACGCATTCAAGCAAACCGCAAAACCTTGTTTGTAAACAAATCATTCCATATGTATTTCAGTGGTTTCAGCTGAACCTGATTTATGCAATTACATGCTGCAACCGTTAACCATTAATTACCTTAAATTGGCGAAACTTGTCGGCGGCCCGGAACCGTGAACTTGATCCGAGATAAAGTGTAGTGGCCGACGAACGACGCTGCTGGATGGCTCTCCCGTACTGTTCACAGACTCTTCTCACTCTCTGTTTATTTTTCTCTATCGAGATCACCATGGCAACGAACGGTGCGGTGTAAGCATGAAACGTGTTGTAACGATATATCTCAGCGCAACGACGCGCAAGGCGCGCTCCTAACATGCCTGGAACCACGTGGCATCGGCTACCGTTATGTTATGTCATTTGAAATTCCTCTGATATAGAGTAACTACGTACAGTGTAGCTTGCTACTATCTAAACAGGTGATTAGTGTAAAGTATGCAGCTCAAACAAAAAACCGCAAGCAGTTTTGCAGTCACATTAGCCACCTCACCCGCATCCAAGATTAAAATAAAAACTGTCGGCGAATTCATTGACGCGATTCGATCTGGACGGAGGGGTGTAGATAGCAATTAGCGCACGGAAAGATTGTTTCTGGTTGTGGAAAACTTGACCACACAATTATAGCCCTATTGGTATACGGTGGCAACTTATGGTTAATATAGAATGGTGGGGGCCACTTCCAACCCTTAGAACAACGTCTAATCAAGAATCAATCTAGCTGGGTTGTCAATAATCAGTTAATCGGTAGCCTTAGTACGGAACGGTTCTAGAGAAGACATGTTCAGTCGGTTAGCAGCTGTGTTGTGTGTCTTATGGGGTGTGGCCCAAGGATTTAATAATTCGTTGCCTTTTTCTGTTGAGGAGGAGGACGCTCTGTTGACTGTGGTGAGTTTTCGATGCATTTCTGCACTAGCTTTGTACGGAAAGGATTTGAGTGAATTTTCATTCTTTGACAGCCACAACTGATTCGGAAGTACGGCTACGAAGTGGAAGAGTATGAAGTTCCCACCGAAGATGGTTACCTGCTGTCGATGTACAGAATTCCAGGTCAAAAGGGAGCACGGGAGTTTCCAGTTCTCATGATGCACTCGTTGTTCAGCAGCTGCTCAGATTGGGTCCTGATCGGTCGGAAACATGGATTGGCATACCTGTTGGCCGATCGTGGCTACGACATCTGGATGGGAAACGCTCGGGGTAATCGTTACTCAAGAAAACACCAACGACTTTCAGTGACTTCACATCAATTTTGGGACTTCACATTCCACGAGATTGGCTATTACGATGTTACGGCGTTGATTGACTTCGTTCTTGACCGAACGGGAGCTCAACGGCTTCACTACATTGGCTTCTCACAAGGTGCGATGACCAGCTTCGTAGCATTAAGCAGTCGACCGGAGTACAACGAAAAGATTGTTCAACTGCACGCTTTATCTCCGGCCGTTTACATGTACCGTAGTGGGAGTGCAATAATACGCTTGTTGACATCGCTGCTCTCTCCGCTTTCTATTACTTTCAAGTCCGTTGGAATAAATGAATTCTTACCGCACTTGGAGCAGCAGTACTATTTGTTCCGATGGCTGTGCCCTACTCCGGGACAGAACTTTTGCCGAGCTGTGGTCCACGATGTGGCAGGTCCCAATCCAACTCAACTGAATGCCGTAAGCCAATATCCTAAAATTACCTAAACCCTAAACTCATAGTTTCTAATCACTTTCTTCCCAACAGAAAATGCTTCGGATCTTCCTAGGCCACTTCCCAGCGGGCGCTTCGACCAAACAAGTGCGTCACTACGCCCAGATTATCAACGATGGAATCTTTAGGCAGTTCGATTACAATGATATCAGGCAGAACCGGGAAGCTTACGGAACCAGAATCGTCCCAAGGTACAACCTATCACAGGTGACGGTCCAAGTGAGAACCTACTTCGGCTATAACGACAACACGGTCGTCTACCAGAATGTACTGCAGCTTGAAAGCGAACTACCAAACGTGGTTGGGAGCTATCCGGTACCGGATAAGCGATTCAGTCACGTAGATTTTATACTAGCCAACAATGTCAGGGAAATCCTCTACAGGGAGATTATCAACAACGTCGAACAAACCGATCGGAAGAGTTAGTTCTTCAAAATAAAAGCTGCTAATCTAGTTAAAACCAGTTCAGTGTTCGTTTCAATTTCAAGTGTTATTCAAGTGCCACCAGGTGTCCCACTCAAGCGTACGCGCGCAAATCGGCCAACAGTTCATCGTACAGTAGCGATCGCACGTTGATGGCCCAGACGAAGTCCATGTGGTTGAATGCGTGCAGTGGAACAAGGTATCGCTTGCGGACATTCGGAAGCTGACCGGCCAGGAGCAGGACATCTTCCGGGGTGGCCAACCAATCGTTGGTACTGTGGTACAGCAGCGTCGGAGCCTGGACGTTGTTTAGGTTGTAGTTTGGTGGAGTCAACGATCCGTAGCGGATCATGTTTTCTGCCGGTCCATAGTCATACTGGCGGAAGATATGCGAACGGACCGTCTGGGCATGGTGGATCATTTGCATGGCAGAAGCACCTGCGGGTGAATGGCCATGCATGACCGGAAGCATGGTCTACGGAGAAAATAGAAGACAACCATTTAGAAGAAACAATTTACCTACGCCAACGGCTGCGAAACTTACGTAGTTAACCTCCTGGGAGTTAAAGCCAGCCATCAGGAACGTAGTCATGGTACACATCTGCTGATATGGTGCTCCATCTCGGCACTGATCGATACCACCTTGAATGTCCATTTCATTCGTTGGTGCGAAGTAGTAAGTCCCCATCATCTGCAACATCAGCTCTGTCGTGTGTAGATATGCGGCCAAGAAAATAACGTAGGGACTTCTCGTCCGGTGCATGTACGCAGCAGGGGCCAGTAGATGGGCACTCTTAACCCTCTGGTTGTAGTACGGATGCTGGGACATCATCACCCAGAAAACTGTGGTACCCTGCGAGTGTCCGATGTACTGTAGATTTTGCTGCCCCGTCCGTGCCAGGATGTAATCAATCACATTCGGCACGTCGATGCTTCCAACCTCATGCCACGAAAAGTCCCAAAACACTTGAGTTTGGTTGTTCCTCGAGCGGTGGCGGTTGGAGTACCGATTGCCACGGGAGTTGCCCATCCAAACATCGTACCCGGCGTCGGCCAACATGTAGACCAGACTGGTTTGCGGTCCCATCAGGATATAATCAGCCGATGAACTGAGCATTCCGTGCTGCAGCAAGACTACGGGTTTTCCGGCTGCTGGTGGCGATACGGGACTGCCTGGACAGCGGTGAACTCCCAGCAGGTAGCCATCATCCGTTTCAACGATGTGCTCCTCAGCGGGGTAGCCGTACTTCCGGAGGAGTCCCAGCTGAACAAACACACAAGGACAAAGTTCATATCTGTGATTCAGAACAAAACAGGTTTGCCGTCACTTACAGAATCCAAATAGGCATCTTCGGCGATATCTGGGTGAACCTGGGCGTAAGCACTGGCTAGGAACAAGACCAGCACCAAAGCAAATGGTAATTCCTTCATCTTAATTCGGTCGGTGGTTAAGGTGAACTAATAGCTTGGTGCCTTACTCGGTCATTTTTTAAATATTTTTTTCGAAATGGAAACGGGGCTTATCGGTTGCACCGTGCGAGCTTAACAATCTTGGCCGTCATCGATTAGATTGGGGAAGCCTTTAGGGGGTCCATAAAACATTCACCATAATAGAAGGGTAATGCACGTGTGTGTGATGGGTGAATGGAAACAGTTAAGGTTCAGCCAAAATGAATGCTGTTTGTGTCCTTTGATTTGGAAACAGTTGTGTGAGTGTAAAAAATTCGAATTGACCACTTTGCCAAGCAGTTTTGGCGTGACTTTCTACCAGCGATTTCATACAACTGGACCAACTAATTTCTATTTTTTTATGAAACGCACAAATGTTGGTTCTAGAAGAAAAAATCTCAAAATAATGTTTTATTTCAAAGTTCGAGTGGTAGTAAACATCATTATAACTGCTCGAATGAAGTGGTTAATTATAAATCTTTTAAATTTGTCGATCCTCTTAACGGAATCCATTTATGAAAAGCTTTGAGTGTGTTGGTTTATTTCATTTTAATTCCGTTATAATTGCTTATCTTTTGACGGATACGCGTATTTCGTCTACTACTTGCAGACTTCATCAGTGCCAAGTACTCAATTACTCGTATTGTTAGGTTATTATCAGGGGTTAAGTCACTCTGCCACCTTGTGTCTGTGCTTATTGTGTTTCACGTGTGTGGTGGTGTAGTGTTAAGCGTGACCATTTTTTCATCCCAATGGGTCTGGGTTCAATCCCAGCCGAGGTCGGTGAGATTTTTCTGAAGCATAAAAATCTATGGTAAAGCCGTTGGTCCCCGGCCCATGTGTGTTGAATGGGTGCGATATCCTACGCAGGTGAGTGTCGTGACCTGGTCGAGGTTTCAAGCATCGACCATTTGTTGTTGTCACTATGATGAATCTTGCCAAATTGTCCCGCGTTGTTCGTAGCGTCCGTCTGCTTTAAGGTGTACATTAGCGGAGCGGAGCAAAATTTGCGTTGAAATGAGAGAGACAACTAGCGCTTTTCTCCCTCTCGTACCTTCGCAAAATCTCGCTCCGCGCGTGAAATATCGCTTAGATCTGAATACACCTTTAAAATTTGTCAACAGAATCCTCAAACAAACGAGCCATGAATGAGCGTGATGAATCTGATAGTACATCTCATTCCGCACTCTTCCATCCCATAGCGTCATGCAGAGCTGCCAGGTGGTTTTATAAAAATCTGTATCCACTCTATTAAAAAATCTGTATTTTCTGTATTGACGATTTTTTTCTTAATTAATCATGTTTTGTTGTTTTACAAATACAGTGCATACAAAATAACCATAAAAAGTGCTTAACCACCTATTCGGGCTATCGTACTAACCATACGGGATATAATTGGGCCATTTGTGACATCTTCCGTACTTATTTATAAGAGTGATATGAAGCCGTTTGAAAATGTATGGAGATTTTAGTTTCTATTCATTATCTTCCTGATAAGCAGTTTTAAATGCAAAAAAGTGCACGAGTTCATTACTATTTGATATTTTTAATATAGATGAATACAATTAATTACATCATTTGTGTGGTAGTCGAGAGATGACCGAAAAGTCGAGAGATGTCGCCCCGCCAGTGCTGGTAAAATCATTTTTGCAGTATGGAGAATATCAGAAAATCCGCAATTTCTTACGAAATACATTTTCAATGCAAGTAAAATGTTTACGAGTACTTGTATTTGTACCATTTTAATGTGCTCGGGCACTTTTCTTGTATTTAACATACATGCTTATATTGGAAATATTCAATTAATACTGTAATCCCCATAATCCACATGTAAAGCACAACAATTAATTTTGGAGAGAAGGGGGTACGCTGATAAAATCGAGCAAGTTATTTTGTTTTTATAAATTTTGAATTTTTTTTCTCAAGCATTTTATAAAAATCTGTATAAATCTGTATTGTAATTTAAAAATCTGTGATAAATCTGTATTCTGTATCGGGTCTGTATTAAGATTAAAAAATCTGTATAATACAGATAAATCTGTATAAATGGCAGCGCGTCATGTTAAGCATATGTCCTATCCCCCTCACTTCGAGTCCTGTGTTTTGATCGTTTCGTAGCCAAACTTCGAATTTCATAACACGAATTGGCGTTGACGGCGACTCTGTAGCTCTTTACTCCTATGAGAAAATCCATAAGCAAACGTCAGACTGTGCGTGAAACATGGCGGACTTTGTACTATCCTTTCACTCCACCGAAAATTCCCATAAGAAACTGTCTATATTTGCTGGAAGAGCAAATTTTTCGACGGTGCCGTCAACGCCAATTGCATTCGTATATTCGGAGCTTTCCGAAGCTCATGTTTCAACGAAGGTGAGCTTATCTGTCATTTTCCTATTTTATGAATGTCGACTTCCAGTGCTGCCAAATGCACTTTGCCGACTTCAAACTAAATAAAGGTAAATTTATTATTAATTGATTATTACTTTACCACATATACTACAGTGTGGAAGTTGCCTTCCAGCACATTCGATTGCCTTCAATGGATGGCAATCGATGTCCGTCGGTGATTGGCACTAGATTGCGGAACGGAGACCGACGTTAAATAAAGGAATGTGATTAACTTAATCTTGCTCGGTAAAATCTCCAACAGCCGATTACATCGGCATTTAATTTTGCTGATATCTCTGCAAAATATCTGTTTGTTAGCTGATATCTCAGCTAAATGATATTTATTAGCTGAGTTTCGGTAATTGTTTTACTGAACCTCAGCAAAATAAATTGCAGAGCTACTCGGCTGTTGGAATCTCGACAAAAAAATTGAGTGTGTATCCCCTTCTAGTCGAAATTCTAGAACTACACAATGTTTGTTTTGATTGGTTATGAAAGTTTGACAGATAAAAAGAGGGGTTCGTGGATTTTCCCTTGTTTCGAGGGGTGCAACGATTAGCTTGGGACCAAAGAGAGTACCAGAGCTGAGCCAAAAAGTTCAGCATGTTTCTTCGGGACCTTCTAGTCTTAGAGTTACCTCTATGGTAGTTCTGTGTGAGCCAGTTTAAAATCGTTAGTTTCCACCGGTTGCTACTGTGTTACCTAACTTATAACGAATATACGCTGTATACGAGTACGAATACGAATTTGTTCATTTAAATCAAAAATATACTCTAATCCTCGCTCTAAACATATGAATTATTCAAAGTAAATTGAAAGGATGTTTAAAACTAAAATATTTATGTTTGACTGCAAAAGTATGTTTATTACAACACACTATCGATATATCAATTGTATTTGACAGCATCTGTCACTGACGTGTTTGTATTTGACTGACAATGATCGGTTTCGGTACTTGGTGAATAAGAATGGAATCATTTTCCGGTTGGACCTGGTCAAGCGGGAACGTTTTGCGGTGATAAAGGCACAGAAGACCAAGCAGAAAACGAGATCAAGATCTGGACGGAGCGACACTGAAGCTGGTGAACACAGAACATTCGTTGTTACCGGGGGGAGGTTTCCGGAAGATTACCCATCATTCGTGGTGAAGGACTGGTCTCTGGATGAAGGACTGATCCCTGCATACGGATGTGATTGCATCCGGATCATGTGACCACGATAATGCAAATAAAAGCGCACGATTGGTGATTTGACCTAATTGCGCACTTTTAGTTGTTTCATCGCACATTCGAAAATAATTCATAATAATAAATAGAAAATCACGCTAAACATTAAATACGTTTAAAATAAACTTCGAAATCATGTAAAATTATTTATTTTTGATTACAAAGCTGTCAAAGCAAAAATATTCACGTTTATTTTCAACACGAATATTTTTAAAATAAACTCTGCATGACTTTTATTTTAAACCTTGATTTAATACGACTTTAAAGTCTTCGGTCCCAAGCTAATCAATGCACCCCTCGAAACATAAGAAAATCCACGAACCCCTCATTTTGTCTGTCAAACTTTCATAGTGAATCAAAACAAACATAGTGTAGTACTAGAATTTTGACTAGAATGGGGTTCGTTAATCGATTTGCTTGGGACCAATAGGCTAGTCAAGTAGTGAGCCAATTTAAAGTTGTTAGTTTCCACCGGTTGGTAGTAGTGTTGCCATGTGATACAATTCAGTAGTAGTGGTGTTGCCATGTGGTACACTGAAAAATTGCAATAGCAGGTTAGTCACCAAAGTTTTCGAGCCGCTCCGTCTGTCACTTCGTTTGTGGTAGTACCAACCGGTTGAAACTAACGATTTTAAATTGGCTCACTACTTGACTAGCTTATTGGTCCCAAGCAAATCGATTAACGTACCCCATTCTAGTCGAAATTCTAGTATTACACTATGTTTGTTTTGACGGATAAAATGAGGGGTTCGTGGATTTTCCTATGTTTCGAGCGGTGCATCGATTAGCTTGGGACGAGGCTTGGGACCGAAGAGAGTACCAAAGCTGAGCCAAAAAGTTGAGCACTTTTCTTCGGGATCTTCTGGTCTTAGAGTTACCTCTATGGTAGTACCGTACCCTCTATCATGCACATTCCCAAGCATTGTTTTGCAACCGGAGCATCCCTCGTTCATGAATTTTTTATTTCACTAGTTGCTTTTCCCTCGTTCTGTCAACGCGTCGCTGTGTTGAATTAAAAAAAATCAGATGGAAGTCAGTGATGTAGGTTCTACGAAATTTTCCGTAGAATAGAATTGATCGAATTTTGCAGAAATACGGATCCGTAGAAGAAATTCACTGAAGCTCAGTCTTTTGTAGGGATTTATTTTGATTGTTTAGTGTGATTTTTCTTTTGCTGGAAACCAGTTTTTAAATGTGGTAATGCATCAGTAATGAGTGCCCTTTCAACCACAAACGAAGTGACGGACGGAGCGGCTCGAAAACTTTGGTGACTAACCTGCTATTGCAATTTTTCAGTGTACCACATGGCAACACCACTTCTACTGGATTGTACCACATCAAATATATCATATTAACAATATGATCCACTCTTTCGCTTAGCTGGCGAACCGAATTTTTAGCGATGAAAGCACCTCTGTGGCCAAAAAGGCTACCAATGTATTTGTTTATCATCACGAGGGGTAAACCAAATGAAAATTTGTTTACTATTTCAAATGAATGTATTTCAGCATTTTATTTTATTTGATGACCACAGTGACAAGCCAGACAAATTTTAAAGTAATATACACAATGTAATTAATGAAAATAATTTGACTCTTACTTTTGTAATAAGTGCTGTATTCGCACCCGTCGATTGTAATTGAATGATTTTTGCTGACCTTTTTCAACGCTAGATGGTGCGTGAAGCAATATTTTGCGGGTCACCATTGCAACATTTGGAAAAGGCATGAATGGATCATATTGTTAATATGATATATTTGACCACATGGCAACACTACTACCAACAATCAATTCGAAACTAACGATTTTAAAATGGATCACTGCTATCCCATTCTAGTCGAAATTCTAGTACTACACTATGTTTGTTTTGATTTGCTATGAAAGTTTGACAGATAAAATGAGGGGTTCATGGATTTTCTTATGTTTCGAGGGGTGCATCGATTAGCTTGGGACCGAAGATAGTACCAGAGCTGAGCCAAAAAGTTGAGCACGTATCTTTGGGACCTTCTGGTCTTAGAGTTACCTCTACGCTACTACCAACAATCAATACGAAACTAACGATTTTAAATTGGCTCACCACTTTAGTAGCCTATTGGTCCCAAGCAAACGATTAATGTACCCTATTCTAGTTGAAATTCTATTACTACACTATTTTTGTTTTGATTCGCTATGAAAGTTTGACAGATAACATCAGGGGTGTGTGGATTCATGCAGAACATGCAGGGGTGAGTGAAATAGCTTGGGACTGCTTGGGACCGTTGTTCTGGTACTGAGTGAGCCAAAAATAATAATGATTTTCTTCGGGACCCAGTGGTCTTAGAGTTACCTCTATGCTACTACTGGATTGTACTAGCATTTTCACCAAACGTATAAGAATGTTTTGGTTCTATCTCTTTCATTCTACTCAAAACTTAAATGAAAAAAAATGACAAAGTGATACACTCTTTGTACTCTGTCAAAGAATCATTGTACACAAAATCAACTTTGTTCAAATCAAAACAAAAAAACTAGCCCGTCTGGTGGATGATGGCACGAGCTTTTAAGAAAATTCTATTACAGCGAACCACATTATTTTAATTGATTTCTTCGCCAGTTAGTCGTCTGTCACTTCGTTTGTGCTATCAACCACCGCTCATACTAATATGTATCAATCAAGGTTATTCATGACGCTTTAAACACCATTTACTAAAAGTGGATACAATATTACTATATAACCAACCGGTTGAAACTAACGATTTAAATTGGCTTACTACTTGACTAGCCTATTGGTCCTAAGAAAATCGATTAACGTACCCCATTCTAGTCAAAATTCTAGTACTAAACTATTTTTGTTTTCAATTAACTTTGAAATTTAGACAGCTAAAATGTCCTCTCATCTTCTTGGGAACTGAACGAGCCTGCAGCCAACTTTGGTTCGTTTGCATTTTTGTCTAAATATCCTTAAGGGAGGAAATACAAGTAACACGTCAAAAACTCGACGATTTTCGGAATTTTTTGTGAGCAAATGAAACAACGCAAACGTTTGGGGTTTTTTGCATTAAATTGCTTAACTCCGGTGGGGATTGGTAATTGGCGAGCATTTTAGAGACCTGAAAAATGGACAAAACATACTTTTATCAATTGGACCTTATTCAGAAAAGATTTTTGTTCTATGTAAACCTCTAAAACCAAAAAAAAAACGATTTAAAAATCTAGAAAAAAGTTTCTGAAAAAGAAGTTGATTTTTCACTGTTTTTTTCCACTTTAGGCAGACCTGAAAATTATTTATTGTTAATTTTTTCATGATATCAGTGGTTGCCATATAGGGTAAAAATCTATTTCCTTTAAGATGCGCAAGGTTTCAAGTCATTTGGATGAGTACTTTTTGAGTTATCTTTCCCGCCAAATTGGAAAACACCGTTTTGAGAAAAAACACGTTTAAAGTTTTGGGTTGTGTAAAAACATGATTTCTGGAACTCATGGTTAATCGGCGATACCGGGGCCATAGATCACTCCTTCCTCGTGCTCGTAGCATTAAAAAAAAATTAAAGTAAATTATAAAATATCTATAAAAAAAAACTTTTACTTGTATTTGCCCCCTTAAATTCTACCCTGGCAATGCCTGTACCCTTCATTGCAGCGACCGTAACGCCACGCAGCGGCGAGCACCCTGAAGCGCCAAGCTCGCCGCTTGCGAAACGTCACTTTTGTTGCAAACTCATCGTCGTCTGTCAAACTCAAACAACACCATCATCATCCAATCCAGCCAGGAACGCGGACCGTATTTTTCGTCGAAAATTGTGTGGAAAATCGGTAGCTTTCCAGTTAAAATCACATTAATTGTGTAGAATTTGCTGCCCAGATCCGGAATAACCATATGAAATGATGGGTCTACCAAACGTTGCCGGATATTTGGCCGAACAGAAAAAGACCACGGACAAGGAGCTGGCAGCCGAGTGGACCGAAATCGAGGAGCTGTATAATGAGAAGTAAGAGTTTTTGTTGGCTTTGGATTTTTCTAAATTTAAGGATCATGATTTTTTTTCCAGGTTGTGGAACGAACTGACCATCAAGTTGGACACATTCGTGAAAACTCCGACGCTACAGAATGAGGAAGCCCTGCTCGCGTTGTACCACAATTTCATTTGCGTTTTTGAGACCAAGTAAGTGTGTGCGGGTGATGCGTCTTTCTATACTGCCAGGAACTAAAATGTTTTTTCACGCATCTAGGATTAACCCGTACGGTCTGGTGGAGATCCTAACCGTGGTGGTGTCGCACATCGCCGACAAGAAGGAAGCGGTTGCCTTTCTAGAGAAGCTCAAGGATAAGATCAAGGTATGCGACGAAGCCCTCTGGATGTGCAAGGTGTTGCAGGGTACGATCTATCTGGAGGCTTTGAACGAGCTGGACGAGACGAAGAAGATCATCCTTGACTTGAAGGACCTTCTGGAGGAGGCAGGCAATGTGACACCAGTGCACGGAAAGTACTACATGCTGGCCGCCAACTACTACAGGTGAGTCTGCTGGGTGAATGCTAGGATTTCGCTTTGTTTAGTGTGGCTGCTCATAACGAAAAAAAATGTCGATAAAGTAGGACGGAGTTCACTTTTATACATAGAACGGTACAAATGTCGCCTCGGGAAGCTTTGAAGAGCAGTGCTGCCAGAACATTAAATTGAAAACGTTTTGGATAATTATTTTGATTATTGCTAATAATTATTAATTATTTTGTTCAGGCTGGTCGGTCAGCACAGCGACTACTATCGCTGTGGATTGCAGTTTTTGGGATGTTCCATGGATAGCTACCCGAAGGATCAGTGGCCTCAGCAGGCATTCTTCCTTGGACTGGCTGCGTTGCTCGGTGAAGGCATCTACAATATTGGAGAGCTGGTGAGTTGAAATCGTTGAAATCCTCCCATGGGATCCGACTGGAATAATTATCCTATAGATAGGGGAAAGTGGGGTAGTGTGGCCACCTTAAGAAAATCATCACTAATGATACCTAATTCAATAGAAAATTTGGATGATTTCAAGCCAAATGGATAGCCCTATTTACATCATGAATACTAATTTAATATTACAAGTGAACTTTTGAATCTTATGAATGAAGAATCCAAGAACAAAATGTGATTATTGCATACAAACTTTTTGTAAACGAACCTTTGTACCTTTCATACAACAGTTTGTTTACAAAAAAGCTTGTATGCTCTTTTCACAAGTGGCTCTTGATTTAAAAAATGTTCGTTTCGTAACCGAAATAAAACCATTGGGGTAAAATGAGCACCCTTGTAAACAACCGGTACGAATATTCTGTTCTCTCAAGGCTTTATGAAGGGTCAACAATGAACAGTATTAGCATACAAAGATTTTAAATCTTTGTATGCTAATACTGTTAAAACTATTATGTTCTGTAGAATAATTTAAATTTTAGAAGTATTGCATATTTAAGGCTATATTTTTTCAGTCTTGTAAATGACTGATTTTTTACCAAAGCAGCTGCTTCAAAACATGATTTCATATGATATAGTCGTATTTATAAAAGTAATAATACGAAATCGAAGAATATGTTTGAAATATCAGTGGTGCTCATATTGCCCGGAACGGACTTAAGTAATATTTTGCTAAGAAATGTTTTAATGTTTATTAAAAACTAGAAAAAATATCGCGTCATATCAGAAACCAATGATTATTTATAAAGTTCCTGAAGGAATATTAACGATAAGTTATAAGAAACTACTGATAGACCTTATTTTCTGCCTCATAAATCTTTTTAACATTTTGAGCTAGTATATTTTTTTCGAATAGTCACACTAGAGAAAAGTAATTTTTCAAACTAAAATTAAATGGATAGTTCAAGTAGGCTTCAAGCATTAAGCATGCCACAGATTTGTTGTAAAATAAGTTGATTTCTAAGCGGCTGGTCACATTACCCCACTTTCCCCTATTCGTTAATCAATTCAATTTGTTGAGTGGCTAAAAAGCTCAGTTTATTTATCCCTGAACTGTGTCAAGTGCTTTGGGAATTAGAGAATGCTGTGTGCTGTGTGTTATGATCCTAATAACAGTAACTTATCTTCAGCTGGCCCACCCCATCCTAGAGTCCTTGAAGGGCACCGATAACGAATGGCTGGTGGATTTGCTGCAGGCCTTCAACTCGGGAGATATCAACAAGTGAGTTTTGCTTCACAGAAGAAGTGCCATACGATATCAATAAAACCCTATTCCGCATTCCCCATTGCAGATTTGAACAGATGAAACCGAAGTGGAGCACCATCGCCGACCTGGCCGCCCAGGAGGTGAAGCTCCGACAGAAGATCTCCCTACTTTGCCTGATGGAGATGACCTTCAAGCGACCAGCCAACAAGCGCACCATCACATTCGAGGAGATTGCCAAGGAGGCGAAACTTCCCATCAAGGAGGTCGAGATTCTGATCATGAAAGCCCTCGCTCAGGGCCTGGTGAAGGGAGCCATCGACGAAGTCGCCGGAGTGGTCAACATGACCTGGGTCCAACCGAGGGTGCTGGATCGGAAGCAGGTGGCAGCGATGGCCACCACCCTAGACACCTGGATGGCTTCCATCACCTCGATGGAACAGCTGATCGAGAGCCGGGCGAGTGAAATCCTCACGAACTGAATGAGTGTTTTTCTTTCGTTTCTCATTAATTGAAAACAATTTTCTGTTTTGAAATAAAACCTTAGCACTTATATTTAATGGAAAAAAGCCGTCTTTACATAATACATTGTTTTTTGGTATATTCCTGTAGTCTATATCGCTTACTTAGTTCTACCCTTGAAGAGGGTGGATTACCTCAGTGCGACGATCAATGCAAAGTCAATTGTTGAGAGAGTGACACGATTGTAATCTATAAATAGTCTAATTCAGCTGAACTTAAATCCTAAATAACGAAAGATCTCACGAACCATAAATAATATCAACTAAATTGTATGCGTAATTCGTCAGTGCGTTCGTAAAAATAAAACAGGAAAAGTCGTCTTATCTTAAATGTGCAAGCATCTCAACTTCTTCTCCGGTACCCTCGCGGTGAACTCGAACGAAACGTGTCGTCGAACTTCCTCGTGGGAATCCCGTCGGATACGGCGCGGTGTATTCCCGAGTAAGCTTTTGACTGCTACGTTCGCTTCCGCAACGAACCGCCTCACCAGTCCTTCCAGCTCGAACAGGTGCTCGTCGGGGGCACCGGGCAGCTCCTCCCGCATGAAGATCGCCAACCGGATCAGGTATTCCACGTTGTGGCCGCTCGGGCCCTCGCATTCGGCAATCTGCCGGGCCGTCTCGACCAGCGGTTCCTCACCGATCCAGAGGTCGTTCTTCGGGGTGGCGATGTAGACGAGGGCCGGGAAGGCCTGCCCACTGATGCCGGACCATTCGCTTGCCTTGCGGGGGAAGAACTTGATGTAGTCCGTTTGGTAACCGCCGAGGGTGCACTCGCGCTGCTTGAGGTAATCGAGCGCCAGCTGGCCGGTCACTTTGAATGCGCAGCCCCACGTGATGCCCTGCGGGATGGACGTAAGAGAGAGAGAGAAAACTTATTAGGGTCGTTCAGGTTACGTGTGGAAGTTGCAATTTCATGGCAAGAATGTTGTGATTTCTGTTTCTGAGGCTAGTGGGGTCAATAGCAATTAGTGTAAAGCGGGCATAAAGGATGTCACGTGCAAAGAGAGCGGAGATCGACGAAATGTCTTCACCGCTACTATTCAAGAGTAAGGAAGGTGTTCAATGTGTCATGAGTCTTAACAGACGTAGGGCAATTTGTAGAAGCTAAGACAACATCAGTTGATTTCAGAAAACTTCGTAAAAGTCCGGGAAGGTCGTATAACTTTAGGAAACTGCAAGAACTCTCAAGGGGCGCGACACATCTAAATCTCAATAAATATTTGCTCGAAAAATCTCAAACTAGCAAATCAATCTTCGAAGAATCTACTTTAATTTATCGCATCTACTTGCATCGCACTTCTGGATATCTTCAAAATCGCCTTTAATCTTCTTTCTATCTACTAAATCTTTCCTGCATCGAAGATAGACTCATCCCCCTCGGAAAATTTATTAGTTTACGATATTAAGGGGGGTAAGGAACATACCGGTGGGGGTCCACAAAAAAGGTTGCGTGCAAGTTCTCTCTTAGTAAGCCCCATTGTGCTATGCCAGGGCCAAATGATCGGTTAGGAAATCTCCCACAGCCCGATCACCGACCCAGCATTCTCAGACATAACTATATTGCGATCTGGCATTTTTGCATTAAGTTGTTTGGTGTAACCATGACAATAGGGACCAAATTAGATCCTGACACTTTCTGTCCTCGGCCTGGGGACTTTCCCCATGGTGAGCAAGTAATGCTGTGAGAAGAGTTATCAGAAACTCGAATGTAACCACGAGAGTTGAGCTAGAAAGAACCACGCTACCCTACTTCGCTGTGGCGAATAAAAGTAGTTTTATAGTAATGGGTACATGTTTTAGTTCTAGCGATGTATAGGCTGAAGGTCGCTAGAAAAAGCCGGCATAACGGTGTATTCAGGTTTGAGTGTGCATTAGCGGAGCGGAGCAAAATTTGTGCTCAGGCCGGAATTCACCTTAATTCGATATGCTTGAAGCGCATATCCAAACCATTGTTCGGTGTTCGGGTCAGTGACGTGACGTGAATCTGGTCACTTCAGTTTTGGAACAAGTACTGCACAGTGGGGCTTTTTGCAACAAAAAGGCTTGAAATTGTCTGCCACTGAAACCACACATTGTAGCATATGACTTTCTTTGGGAAAAATGTCAAGAAATTAATTCTTGTCATTATAAATCGGCGCACGCTGTGATAAGTGCATGTTTGGAGCCTATTTTGCCCCAAAATCCCATATTTTCTGTAGTTTTTTCCCCATTATGATACTTTATTGATTTAAATTTTCAGTACCTTTTGTCAGAAGTAGCCAATATGTCTTCTAGCAGTCAGCTTGTGCCTTTTAAAAACTATTGAAAACATACATAGGAGAGCATGGGGTCAAATAAATCAGATTTTTTAATAAAATATAAAAGTTTTCCGAATTTAAACTCAATATTTAAAATTTAAATATAATAAGCATAAAACACTCAGAGAGTGGATTAAAATAGTCTAAAGGACAAAACTGATTCAAGTGCATGTTTTTAGCGTATTTTACCCCGGTTTCTCATATCAAAACAATTCACTTTATTTGAAAGATTTCTGCCGCTGAAATGCTAACAGGAGATTTAGGTTTTCTTGAAGTAAAAAGGAATCTAAGCATCCAATGTGCTTGTTTGCACGAACAAATAAATACATGTTTAGAACCTGATTCACCCCAAAATCCTCTATCAATTGAAAGCATTTGAACATTTGAACTGGTTTACGACTAACTGGTGAAGAAATCAATTAAAATAATGTGGTTCGCTGTAATAGAATAACCACCAGATGGGCTAGTACTTTTGTTTTGATTTGAACAAAGTTGATTTTGTGTGCAATGATCTTTGACAGTGTGCAAAGAGTGTACCATTTTGTCATTTTAAAACAAAACATTCTAGTACATTTGGTGAAAAGGCTAGTACAATCCAGCAGTAATGTTGCCATGTGGTACAAGTTTTCGAGCCGCTCCGTCTGTCACTTCGTTTGTGGTAAAAGTGTGGAAGACTGTCACCACAAAATTGAAAAAAGATGTTGCAATCGACCAAAGCAGCGCATTTTGACGGTTCGATTGGAACAACTTTGACGGACATCCATACTTTACTTGGAGGACTTTAGTGCAAAGATATGCGGTGTGAGGGGTGTGGGCGAAGAAGGCAGTGCTTTGTTTTTCCTACTTACGTTGTTATCCTCAATAAGGGTTGCTACGCGACCCGGCTGAAAAAGAAAGAAACAATACATTAGTTTTTGTTTGTCGTTCAGTGATTTTGGTTTTACGTAAGACTGCATTTCCGGACTGATTTGAAATTTGAACGAAACTATTTTTTGTAAACAATGACAAACTAACAACCCGATCAAATAGGGGAATGATTCCTTTAGCAGTTGGTATAGTTTGTTTGCGAAATCGAGCTTTTTACTCGAAATCGGTGATTGAAGTGTCATTGTTTACAAAAACTGTTCCGCCCAAATCGCAAATCGATCCGGATTTATCATTCGCGACTACAAAGGTACGTAACTCATATTATTGTTGAAAGAATGTTTGAAAAAACGAAAGGTGAATAGATTTTACGTGTACACTATTCGCATTTTGCACAAAAGTCCTGTGCTCAAAATAATCCCTCAAAATAAATTCAACCCGGTCAGAAAAAAAAATATTGTCACGTTTTTTGATTGCTGAAAAGTTCTGTTCAGTCGAATTAGCAAAATTTTGATGATATTCAGCGAAAAGAAAAATGTGTCAATACTTCCGTCAATCATAGCAATCAGCGTTGCCAGTATTCCAGATTTTTAGTCGCCTGGCCAGATACACAGACAGACCTCGTATGTTTCCAGACCTTTTAAATATGTTCCAGATTTCCCCAGATTTTTTAAACATGTTGCTTTAAAAATATCACTGTTAATTGTTAAAGTCCATCAACGTTGGACATTATTGGAATTTTAAGGTAATTCTGAAAATAGTTCACAGTGAAGTGTAAAGGGTGTCCACGATGAAATTGCCACACACAAAATTGATTCGCAAAATTCGAGTTTTCATCCGATTGCCATCAAATTTTCAGGGATTGAGAAATAACTATTAAACTTCATTTTACCATTTTACTCGTATTTTATTTACAGTCCATACGCAAATGCCCGCACCTTGGCCTTAACCCCGGCCATAAGATTCTGCACAACCTGTGAATCAACCGTTTTTTGCATGTAAACCCATACTTTCTTCAGTTCCTCGACTGTCTTCACTACCTTAGGTCGTTTAAGAAGGTGCTGCTTCATAATCGCCCAGTACTTCTCGATGGGGCGGAGCTCCGGAGTGTTGGGAGGGTTGAACATTTTCGGCACGAAATTGACCTTATTTTCCGCATACCACTTCAGCACGTCCTTGGAGTAGTGGCATGAGGCCAAATCCGGCCAGAAGATTGTTGGGACGTTGTGGGCCTTCAGGAGAGGAAGCAGCCGCTTCTGGAGGCACTCTTTTATGTACACCTGTCCGTTCATCGTGTCCTGGGTCACGAAAGGTGCACTCCGCTTCCCGCACGTGCAGATGGCTTGCCAAACCAGGAATTTCTTCGCAAATTTGGACATCTTCTGAGTGCGGACATGCTCCGGAACGCTGAACTTATCCTTGGCCGTGAAAAACAGGTTGCCGGGGATCTGTTTGAAGTCGGCCCTCACATATGTTTCGTCGTCCATGATGCAGCATTCAACTTTCGTCAGCATGTTGAGGTACAACTTCCTGGCACGGGTTTTGGCGGACTTGTTCTGCTTCTCGTCGCGATTAGGGGCCTTTTGTACCTTGAACGTTCGAAGCCCAGCCTTAGTTTTGGCCTTCTGGACAAAACTTCGGCTTAGGTGCAGCTTCTTAGCCACATCCCTAACGGAGGCGTTCGGATTTCGGTTGAAGGCCCCAACTACGCGGTTGTGATTATTGGTGTTGTACGGAATACTTTTTCCTTCACTTCTGGGCTTCCGATCGGTGGTCAACCGTTCCTCGAACCGCTTAATCACTCGCGACACCGTGGAATTCGCGATTCCCAACGTTTTAGCGATGGAACGATGCGAGAGATCCTTGTTCTCGTGATGAATGCGCAAGATTTTATCACGCACGAGCTGTTCTTTCGACTCCATTTCCGCGAGTTTTGATCACAGGACTTTAAAACTTGCAGGATGTAAATAATGCACTATGAACTAAATCCACCCAAATTTTCATTAAATTCTACCCAACGGTTAAAAAGTTAGAGCAATTTCATAGTGTGGCAATTTCATCGTGGACACCCTTTAAGGTGAAATCAAACGAGAATTTCAAGCTAATTCTGAGTAGAATTCCATCCAACTTTGTGGGCTTCGTGTTCGTGCGACTTCACCCGTCGTTCAGGCGTATTGTGAGTGCTACAAAGTTGGGTTCGATTACCGCTCCAGCCGGTGCAAATGTTGACAACCTGAAATTTTTTCCCTACTGGTCTACTGGGTGTGGTGTGTTGTCCGTTGTGTCTAGTGTTAAATATTTAGTCTGTGTGCACCTCTGGTTGAAGACGGTGTCAATTTGTCTTGTCAACGCTGATGACAATTGCATGGAGATTTTGTGAATAAAGGAAATACAATCCGGAAGAGAAATCATAGAAAATTCTTATGATGAAAATTTAAGGAGTATGCTGATACGAATCGTGAGAATAATTTCAATGGAATTCTGTCCAATGTTTCTATGGAGATTGATTTTAATAAAATTTTAAGACATTTAAACGAAATTATGAGCAATTTCTGGAAAACTTTCAAACCCATTTTGGCACAGTACTTGAGTAATTAGGAAATACTGAGTAGGATTTCAAAACAATGCTAACCTTACCTACACAGCAGTTCAAAGGGAATTATCGGATGAGTCTGAGAAGAGCGTGACGGTCATTCTGAATTATGGAGAATATTTTATGAATTTCATATAGTAAAATGGACACAAAATTGTACCAATTCTTGGGAATTATTACCAGTTTGAGGGAATTGTGGAATTGGAAAGTGATTTATAAGAGAGTCCAAGAGGTAAAGAGGTAAATAATGTGGTCACTCTACACACTTGTTTTGCGCCAACTTTTTTCTCAGTGTACCTCAGTGTGCCACAGCTGGCACGGCAGTGCCGATAAGTGATTGAACTGACTTTTGTTTGCTTGTGAATAATGAATTGTTTGGCAACCCGGTATTTTGATAACAGTTGTTACTCTTGATTTTGTTTTGTTTTTCGAAACCTGATCGAATTGATGAGGACGATTTTGGGCGGCTGAAGCCGGAAAGCGACAGCGGTTAAGAAACTGGTGGACGCTTTGTGCTAGTCACGACTGTCGGATCTTCGGAATCGAAAGGCGCTAAGCGCAAAGCCATTCCAAGCGACGAACAGACGAAGAACACCAACGGAAGATCAAAGCCATGAAGCAGCTGTACAAACCGCCGACGGTAGAGGAAATCAATCGGTTGAAGGAAACGGAATATTTCTACCACTCGAATCTGTTCCGGCTGCAGGTGGAAGAGATGCTAAGCAAGGTGAAGGTGAAATTCAAGGTGTTAAATTATATTGAGCGTTGGTTGGGCGATTTCCGGAAGTTTTTGAGGACGGTAAAAGATGCGGACAATGAACGATCTCTGAAGGATGTGGATAATGAAGGGGTTGATAGCCAGACATCGTAACCGAGACTAGATGATTCAAATCGCCAGGACTGGTGAGCTTTAATGTTCAGATGCAAATGTCGTGTTTTCCACTAGCTGATAAACACTCAGCGTAGCGTTGTATGGCTCTACGACGGTGGGAGAGACTTTGTGCGATGGAACGACGGAGAACGGGTTCATGATTCGATCCGTGTATTTTTCTCGAATTTTCGAGATCAGTAGCGTGCCCATGCTTGTGAAGAAGAAGGTATTTTTGCTACTGAATTCCGCCAACGTTACAAAAGATTTAAAATTTATCTGAGCCAGTTCCACCGCCGAGCGAGTGCTTAAGCTGAAAGCCCTGCAGGCAATCGCAACCCTCGGATTCCTTACGGACAATATCCAGTACAGAATCTAAATGTTCGGCTCACTTGGTGTAGTGTCGTTGCCCGAAAACGAAGTTATTCGGCCGGAACAGCTGTCCAAATGGTCCCACTCGGACCGAATCCATAGTTCCCGGCTCGAGGTTGATCAGAACCGCTCGTGGGACGTACTTTCCTCCTGTCATGGGAGTCGATTTTGGAGATTCACGGTTGTGGTTTGTAAAAATTGGATTGTATTGTAGCAATATCAATAACAAATACTGACACATGCACACTGCGCAGGCGCAGAAGAACTTCAGTGTTGCCAGTAAATTTAAAGATCATACAAATGGTAACCATGGGTACTAAACAGGGCGAATGACTGCGCTCGGGTGTGCCCAAGTTTGATTTTGGCACACTGTGTAGAGTGACCAACCCCTTGGGTAATGCTGGAAAAGTTTAGATAGTATCAAGATTATTTTAGGGGAATATAGAAAATAAATATGACGGAATTCTAGGACGATTTCAATGGAACTAAAAAAACAAGCGAACATGTGAAGAGTTCCAAGTAAATTCAGACTAACCATAAATGTCATGATCTGGGAGGGAACCAGGAAAAATATATACTCCGGAATTTATTATTATTTAAAGATCCTGAGACTTCAAAAATGAAGCTATCAAACTTTCATTTTAGCAATATAATAAAATTATTCATTGGCATGAAGTTATTCGTGATGGTCATGTGAATAGTGAAGTAACCCGTAGTTTAGGTAAACTGTGTGTGAGTGCCACGATGTGATGTCAAGAATTAAATGGTAAATCCAGGGGGAACGACACTCATTTGGATGCATTTTTTCACTTTAATAATTACTTGGGATTTTCAGGGACAACATAATTGATGGGATTTTTTTGAGTGTGTCGTCTTGATGAAAATGGAGCAAGGATAGAAAAAAATAAATTGGAATGGATCAGGGGATGGAATGGATGTGAGCGGTGTAAAAAAATTTCAGAGGGATACGAGTCTGAACGCGAAGAGGATAAGTCTGGAGTGCGTTTTGAATTGGTCGTATGTGATAAACTTAAACAAATTGACGTTTTAAGTAATTTTTAAGTTTTATTGATTTTTAAAATATAATGAAATTGCACATTTTTTTAGTAAAATAATAATTAATTTAGATTTTCGCATAATTTCTGTTAAATTTGTTTACATGAACTTTTTTCCTAAGTCCAGACGTT